ATAATAATAATAATAATAATAATAATAATAATAATAATAATAATAATAATAATAATAATAATAATAATAATAATAATAATAATAATAATAATAATAATAATAATAATAATAATAATAATAATAATAATAATATCTTTAGTAATAATAATTGTAATAATATTTATAATAATAATGGTAGTACTAATGATAATAAACATATCGATGATAATAATAATAGCAGTGGGAGGAGCACAGCGATAATAATCGGATTTTAACCGCAATAATATTATTAATCGATATTGATTAACCAACGATTTGTATAAGTATATATATATATATATATGTACATATACAGATACTATAGCACCATGACCGAAATCTTGAATCTCGAAATCTAAAAGAGACAAAGCGAAGGATCAAATTAAGAAAGTCCAGGGGGTGGCGGAAGGAGGATGGGCTGAAGAGAGAGAGGACCAAAAGAAACGCGAAAAAGAAAAAGGGGAAATTGAGATGTTTCATTCTCAATTTTCCGTTTTTCTTTCTCGTGTTTCAACCGAGAGAAAAAGACAAGAAAGTCGTCCCTTCAAGTCGGTTTAGTAAGTTCAACAGAATAGAAACAAATAAAATGCTCTTCGACATGAGATGAGAATAGGAAAAAGGCCAATAAGAACCAGGCTGCAGATGTTGATGAAAAATATACATATATATATACATATTGATGACTATTTCTACAATGATTTCAATCTACTTTAAATCTCTTGATAGTAAACTCAGTCTCGTTATACATTGGAAATAAATATTTACTTATCAACGTCTGCGGTTCGACTTTTATTCGGTCTTTCCCATGAAGAAAAAGATTCTTATCTCTATATAATGAAAAATTCTCATAATATTTTTAAGAATTTGTTATATTTTAAATGTATGAAGATTTCTAAAATGGTACTTTAAACTTTTTCAGAGTTTATAAGTTTTTTTCAGAAATTATAGAATGAAAAATCTTACGAAATCTTATCCTACGAAAAATATGTTTCAGAATTCATATGAAAAAAATCTAGAAAAAATTTTAGAATTTCTCAGTACTTCTGAAGTGTTCTAATTCGAAACGATATTTTAAAAAATCCAAGAAATTTTCTAAAAAAATTATACAGAAATTCTGAAAAATTATATAAAGAATTCTAGAAAAAAAATTTCTTCAGAGACTCCAATTATCGTTTAAACACATCAACTCGATTTTTTACGTCGTGTGTGGTTTTTTCCTTTATTACCGGCCAATCGTCGCGTTTATGCTAGGAAAAGTCGAAGAACAGAGGACCGCCGGCGATCAGAACGAAAGATCTGGGCGAGATCAGGGCAAAGGGATCTGGACACATCCCTAAAAGTGGAGCATCATTGCGCGCAAACAACCGGCCAAGAACACGAAGGAACACTATCGGCGCTGCGCAAGGACAACAAAAGACGATTGACCGGCGTCGTCGCTAAGAGATAGAGACAGATAGAGAATTATCTTGTTTTTATCATAATAATACAATATTACGCTATATTATTACTATGATGTATTTGGCCGTTCAATTATATACTCCAGCAAACGCTCGCCAGAACATCTCTTCAATTCATGATTGCTACCTCGGCGAATAATTTTCGTGGGACTAGAAATTTTGAAGAATACGATCGTGACGTAACTGAAGAAAAATGTCGATCTCGGAAGAGAATGGTATTTATCTATTTATGATATTTATCTATTTATCATTTATTCTCTCATTTTTAATTTGCACTAAGAGAGTATTTTATAATAAAAAATTAATAGAGAATTTCATCTTCCTTTCTTAATTTTTTTTCTTATCTCTTTTCTTATCTCTTTTCACTTTCTTTATCGTTTCTTTTTTTAGGGACACCAAATTCCTTCTAAGAAATTGAAGAATTGTGCCTTCAATTTTAACAAACCAAGAGACATTGTCGCTGCCATTCATTTTCTCTCGAAATTTTATCCAAAACTCTGAAATTTTAATCGACATTTTTCTCATTTGGCAATGATCGGATAGAAAGCGGAAACAATATAACGATCAATAAATGCCAAGTCACGTACGCTCGACTTATATTGAATCACGAAAGACCTTCCACTGCCCGATTACGATGATTAGAATATAAAAGCGGGAGAACACTACCACGTGATCGTGATTGTTGCGTTGTAATCACCGATATGTCCTACCTTGCGATTCGCTCGACAATAACGCGTTAATTAACAGCTACTTCTTTTTTTTTGCAATATAGCTTCAATATAATGTTCCTTTGTAATATACATATATATATTTCTCCTATATATATATTTGTATATATATTTATATTATATTAAACGATGATATCCTCTTTGTCCAATATATTAATTAAGTATGATATGTTTATTCACAACTTGATGTGAGCGCTTAGAAAGAGTGAGAAAGAGCGAGAAAAAGAGATAGAGTGATAAAGATTGGAAATTCTTCCTTCCTTCCCTTAATATCGCAAGGACAGCATCTTCGATTTCTCTTTCAATTTAAGTGATAGCGATAATAAACCGGGTTAACGTCGTTATTTTAAGCACGCCCGGCGTATATAGATAAAACAGTGATATCTATATCAATAAACTTCTTTTTGCTCTCTTATTTCACGTTTCACGGATGAGTATTTCGATGCACTCGCGCACATGTCGCACATAGACACGCACACCCAAACAAACAAATGCACAAGTACGTGCACACATACGCACACGCACGCACACTCGCACACATACACACACACACATACACACACGCGCGCGCGCGCGTTCTGCGATTATATATTGTTATGTATTACACGCTAGTCATTGTCAGAAAGTTTATTAGTGTTTAAAGTTTGAAGAGCTGGCCGCGCTCGCCACAGGACCGTTCCGCGCGGAATCGCGGAGTCGGGCTCAGAATTCTCTGGATGTCGCGTGTGTGTCGGGTGTCGTATGTGTATGCGCGGGCTGTGTGTCGCTGGTACGCATCGCGTTTTCGCAAATTTTTGCATGTACACATGTGTACAAAGTGCCGGACTCTCGTTGCCGTTCTCTCGGGGCGCGATTTACAGATCACAGACACGCGGTTTGCCGCGACGAGTAAACGTGCAAATTATTCTGCGTGGATTAATTGAGGAACTTTATTCCGAATCGCCATTTACGTTCAGGTTCTGTCTTATGTGTTTCCACCCGGAACAGCCTCCCGAAGCGTCGCGCGACGATATATAATTGTATATATATATAATTATATAATTATATAATTATATATATGTATATCGAGATATAATTCGCTATTCTACTTGTCGAGTAATAAAAATAGAGATTGCATAGATTGAAATTCGTAGCAGATGCGTCTATAAGAAGATAAGTTCCTATAAAGAATTTCTCGAGCCTTACAGCATGAAATTTGTATACGCTTCCTCTCAGCGCTTGTGCGCCTTTAATTACATACGTAAGCTCATAGCTGCTGTATGCGTATATGAATGCGCGGTTAGATCGCGCGAGTCTTGTGCTCAATCGCACACGCGTTTTGTTACACTTACGCGGCCGTACAATCGTTCATCATCACTTCCTTGTCATCACCTTCGGTATCGCAACAAATCAAGGATCGAAAATGACAAGTTCGATTTTCAATGTTGGGGACACAGAAAAATGTATCTCGACTGGCTAATTAGCGATCTAAAAATCTAGCAAGTGAAATTAAAACTATTATATGTATCAATTCAATAGGCATTTTAATCTTTTGTATAATTATACAACATGTACTAACATATACAGTTAAGACTCTCCTAAATAGTCAAGCACTCTTAGTATAAGAAAGGAAATAGTTGCTTGGCACAAGTTTCCCTTTAATTGCCATCATGTTGCTGTCATCGGAACAATAGTTTTGTTTAGGGCAACCTAAACTAAAGATATTGTGCAGACAATGGTTGTCTGCGTAAATGAGCGGAAATGCTATAGCATTTTTATTGCTATAAAAGTTGCTACAATCTGTTGGAAAAAGGGCAACCGTTGCCTGAGTGTTATCATCAAATTGTTCATAACTATTAATGGCAATAAAAATCGGCAATCCAAAGCTAGAAACTATTTTCCTTAATATAAAAGGCAACTTAAGCAGAGCATTTGAAGCAAATGGACAGCAATCTGTGGGCAACTTGCTGTGAGTAGTCTTACTGTATAATTATTAAGTATATAATAGGAAAAACACGTTATGTTTAATTTTTATTTAAAAAAGTGTATAGTGCTCTTTTTTATTCTAAAATATATCGTTTATTGAAATCAATTTTTTTTCACGTGTCTGCAACATTAAAATTCGAACTGATCACAATTACGCTGACCGCAACCTCTAAAGAGACACGTACGTGCTCAGCAACGATAATAATACATGAGGGAACACTTTGTAATCTTAATTTCTGATATGTCCGTTGAATATAGTTGGTGTTTCTGATGCTATCATTTGGCCGATTTCCGTTCTAGCCGCTCAGACGGGTACTGCACGCTGTATATATTTATTATATACATATATATTCTTAAGTCTTAGAATTATTTGAAGAGAAACAGAAAGAAAAATCAAAGGATAGAATCTTGAGCACGAACGGACGTCCATGACTCTGTTACGCTTTTTGTGCTTGTTTCCTCATCACAACGCTCGTTAAAACAGCTATTTACTTGGCGCGGCGGCAAAGCGGCGCGAAAGATCTCTCCCTCGTCGATTGAGTATGTCATTCAAATATACGCCCGTTCGGAGACCCGCTTGTTGTAATGCGTGTGTGCTATTGCTTGGCGAATAGTACAAAGCCGTTTCTGTTGAATTTGAGCAAATTGCGAATTTTCCTCCGAACTTGCGCGGAGCTTGCACGGAGAAGTTCCGTCTTATTGCTTGCGCGATTCTTTAAAGGTAATCTTCTTCTCTCTTGAGATCATCTTCTATTATTCGCTGAAGCGATCAAACATTTCAGGAGATGTCCCCTAAAAGATCGTCGTTAGAAGTTCACGCTACTGTCCGCTGCGCGATCTCGCTGTTTAGATAATCAACAATTGTGTCTGTAATTTTCTCCTTTCTTTCTTTTTTAATTTTCTAGTACGGCAAATTTCTTTCGCGATCCTTCGATCAAAATTCCTTTCCCGCTGACTTTTGAATAACCGAGACAAGTCAATGGGAACCGCCATCAGCCATCGACAATTGCGTCTTTGTTTTTCTTTTCTCTCTAATTTTCTAATATCCCTTGTGATAAACAATCTTCACAGGCATACTTCATTCTTCGTTTCAACCGCCCGTTCTTCATTTAATTTGAATCTCATCATCGTGTTAGATGTTTTCGCTAACTCTATTAAGAGTTAAAACGATTCTAGATATTCAGAACGGCCTCGGTAGACGCTGGGCCCAATTTATCGCCGACAACACGGCATCATTGGTCTCGAATTACCTCGCTGTAGCTTATAGAGGCTGCTAAACAAAGGATATTTCACTGTATTCAACAATTCAAGAGCTTAAGATACATTAAATAAAGCAATTCAATAGAATTTAATTTATCAAGATAATTAAATAATAATGAAACAAATTAGACTAATATCTGTACAGAAATTTGTTAAAGCAATCGAAGCAGACACGATTCGCGAAAAACCCGTAGACTTGTTAATTTAATTTTGAATTGTTTGAGGCAACGTTGCATTAAGATAATTAAGACTGCATTACTATATTGGATTATTATTAAAATTCGTGCCGATTTCACACTGTTATTTCATAATCACAATCATGATGCAAGTAACGAAAAATCAAACATTTGCAATCTTTATTTGCATCAAATTATTAAAAATGTTGCATCAAATTATTAAAAATATCAAATTATCAAATGAGCAAAAGAGAAGTGAGAGAAACTGGAATTACATTGAATAATATGAATAAACGTGAAACAAGGGTTTTCAAAGAAGATAAAAACGAGCACATGTTTAAAAGTTAAATCGTAAAGCGTAAACATATCCTGTACTTCGTATGAATACTCTTTTGAAGCATTCGTTTGCAAATGTCATTGCAGTCAGGACAGTTATCGATTATCCAGCAGTATACAGCATATACAGAATTCGCGCTTCTCATTGCTCGTATCTTTTTCACAGTGTTATCGTCGTTATTCTGTTCATAAAAACGAATGCTTCGAATGCTCGTATAAAGCGAAAGCTCTCATATCTTCACGAAGCGTTCGCCTCGCTACAATATAATACAAATAAAAATTCACTTCCCCTTCCTTTCATTTACAATCGATCTCTATTAAATTATTGTTGAAGATTACCTTTTCATTGCAAATCCTCCTCGCATTTAGGAATGTCGAATATCTCGGCGAACAACGGCGGTAATTTGAGCTTCGTCCAGTTCCTGCGGAACCAATCTAAGAGATTGGCATGTCTAGCGCCGAGCGCTCTCAGTTCGGGTATCCTTTGCGAAACGTTGGTGATCGCGGTGCCGCCGGCACCTTCACCGGAGGGTCGCGTTGTTTGCACCCTCAATGCCTCCAGAACGCGATCCTGCAGCCTTTGAACGGCCTTGACGTCGTTCAGTCCTGGTCGTTCGTTCAGCAGCACCGCCGCCGAGAATAGGCCCAGCTCGGTGTCCGTCAGTTGATGGGCATTTAATGATGACGTGACTTGCATCAGTGCAGACACGAAGTCGGGCTGTCGATCATAAATAGTCGAATAAAATAATAATCGTATAATGTAATAATAATCTTTATAGAAATTTAATACTAGAAAAAGTAATTAATTACTTAGTTTGAATACTAAAAGTACTTTTAATATTCAAAATAAGTAATTAATCACTATCTTTCAATATTAACCATTCGATGTCACCCTGGATATAATGCAGCTGGTTTTCTTTTTCTAATAATTTCTCCATTTTTACTTATAACATTTTATTAATAAAAACAAATACATTTACTTAATACCGATATGTTTCTTAATATCTGGCGTTTCGATTGAAAATAAAATTTTACAATGTGTTCATTTTTATAAAAGTTAGCTATAAGCAATCGAATTGGATTAGGTATGCTATACCCAAGTGTGTCATTTCCGTAGTGTGACACCGAAGTGTTAAATTAGCTGTACTAAATTGGATTTAGTAAAGGAAAGACAAAACTAAAAACGCGAAAAACGATTAAATTTATTATTTTATGTTTCACTTCTTTCGCGACAGAGAAAAAAATAGTCGATTTTATGTGATAAAGAATGAATCTAAAATCCATAAATTCGAAAGTACAAATTTCATTGAGACTTAGGGAAATAGGTGTGTTACTAAAATTAGTACAAGTTAAACTGTAGTATTGATCTACAACTTTAATCTTACCTCGTACATCAGTTCCAGTTGCTGGCGGGTGAAGTAAGTGCCGTCTTCAAAAGTCATCGAATTATCGGTGGTCATTTTGGAGATGTGGCAAAGCCACACCTCAAAAAAGCCGACTTTGATCAGGATCAGCTGGTCGTCTTGCGAGAGTTCGCAGAATCCCGGCATCCGTTTTGCGAACTCCACCACCCTCTGAACCGACGGCGTCACTCTAGTGGCAAATTGCTGCCACAACCAGATCCTCTGCGACTCAACAGTCTCCGCGGTCGAGGATGCTGCTTCTGGATCTTCCGGACTCGCGGGCTGCGAAGAATTACTCGCCTAATCAGCAAGATTACAAACAGACCTGCGAGTTTGCTACCACTTCCAGCGGGAAGTCTTCGCACATACATAATGAGAAATTAAACTAATTCCGTTCTGCGTCAAAAAGACAACGAGACATATCGCAAAGTTAATATTTTTTTCATTCTTTCAATCGATTCGGAAAAGATCTTTATTGTGTATTAAAAAAAAATACATTAGATCTTTGTTTTATTGAATTTAATTATTATTAGGTATCAAGATCTGCTTTGACCAAATATTTTTTGCTTATTTGTGTTGGACATTTCTGGATCAATTTTCATTTGTTTAATTACTATGATGTTTAATTATTATTTTATTCTTATAATTACTGACATAATTATATGACATAATATTAGGTGTTGGAATTAATTCGTAGCGTTTTTTAATGAAAGAATGTTATTTATTTCACATGAGCATTAAAAAATACATTAATGAAAGTACTTCCCATCACTTGTAAAACGCTACGAATTAATTCCAACACCTAATAATATTACTGATTTGGAGCGGCGACGTTTTAGATCGCAACGGATTAGTTTCCTTTTTCATTTTCTAATGGCTCACCGGTATTATCATAGGTTTCCTCGTGAGGCCCCTGGTAGACTCTTCCGTGAAGCCGCAATGAGCGTGATGAGCCTGAGAGACCTGATGAATCACATCGTATACAGCCAGTTGCTTCACGTCAGCGTCTGATTGATCAGCCTCGACCACCGCCGCCGATGGTACTCGTGAGATCGCGTTTTGGCTCTGGGTGTTATTGTTATTGTTATTGTTGTTGTTATTGTTGTTGTTATTGTTGTTCTTGTTGCTAGCATTGTTGTTGCCGGTATCGGGTGTAGTCAGCTGCTGCATTTCCATAGCCGCCATCGTCGTCGTCGTCGTCGTCGTCGTCATGGTTGTCGCCATCGTGTCCTCGGGGCCGCGTTCTCTCGAGCGTTTCGGCACCCTGCCGTATCTCACGGCTGCAAAGAGATGAGCAGAATGTGATCGTTGGAGAGATCTCGAGGTATTGGATGAAATATTTACATATATTTTTCATTCCTTGCAGCGGTCTTCGCTAATATTAATTTTTGTAAATAAAAGCTGCGATAAAATTGAAGATATTTTTGCGAATATTCCTTCATATCAATTTATTATTGGAAAACATAAAATTTTTTATTTTATTAACAATTTTTTCTTCCAAACAAGCAATCTTAAGTAAACTTTTCAAAATGTTATCACACCGAGATGTGCTTTCATATGATAATAAGAGCGAGGGTAATCTTCCCTGTCATAAAGAGAGACAGTTCAAATTTGACACGATAACAGTTCGCTTCTCTTGGTCACATTCAAAATAGTTTTATCATTAAAAATGTAATATTATTCTGAATTTTATTTACTGTTCGACTCATATGGAAATTAACCATATTCCGTTTATAATCAGAAATTACTAAGAAATGAAGTATCTAATATTTATCGATCATATTTCAAACGAAATTCAATTATTTCTGTACTATTCAACAATTCAACTAGTTGAGACTCTCTATAAAAAAAAGGCTGACTACCTTATGAGAAATATTACCATGATTTTCATTGAATCTTAAGTATGTAAATTCATTGCGTTGATCAAATGATGAGGATGGCTAAAAGATTAACCGAAACCTGTACAGACGGTCACAGAAAAGTTGCAACACAGTTTTTTTTCCGATGAGTTTCGGAATGTAGAGTTTACTCACTGAGTGATTGATTCTTGCTTATGGGTCTAACTATTTACGTTCAACTACTCTACGAGCAAAGCTGAATTCCATTTAAAAAAATGTTGCAACATTTTTGTGACCGGCTATATACATAATCTAATATTGTGAATATATTCAAATCTTATTTATATTGCGCAATTTTAACAGCGCGCATTTTTAGTAGCTCGTTTTTTTACAGTTTCTTGTTTTTTATTTTGAGAATTTGATTATTTTACTTAGTTTTTTAAATTCATAAATTTGAGTTATTTTTTATCATTTCTATATGTTGTCATTGCTCCTCAATATGTCATTGATTTAATTAAAACATTAGAGTTAAACATTAGAGTTAGTATTAAATTTAACTCAAATTTAGTTTATATATATATATATATTGAGATACGGATGTTATTTAAATTGAAACTAACCATAGAAATGGATTGATTGACATTTTGACATACATGTAAATTAAAATAATAGAATGTTATTTAATTCAAGGAATTGAGTTACCATTATTGCTGTTTTGATATTTAACAGTGTTTCTTTTTAAAAATTGAAATGATTTTTTTTCGTGCAAATGTCAAGAAGCGAATAGTTTTTGGACTGCAGTCGATTAGAAATGGAGATCTTTAGCGAATCATGGTTCAGAGACACAGACAATAAAGTCTCACGGTCCAAGTAATTTCAGGTAGACTTTAGTTTCATGGACTCCTGATTTAAACGCTGTAGTCTGAAGATATTTTACGTCAAAAGTTTTAACATTTCTGAAAGTTGAGTCCCGCGGATTTAAATGAAAGCCATCTCGTTTGCGTTCCTCTAGATTATTACACCCGCGTCTACGCGAGTCTACGTGAGTTCGTTACAATTTCGTTTGCGACACGTGACACGATGATGAAGCGGTACTCGCAGCTCGCACGTCGTACACGTAGACCGGTATTGCGCCCTGGAACTCTGACGTTTAATTATGTACACGCCTGCCCTTTGGTTTACTTTGCTCTCTCGACACGGGCGGCAAGTAGATTTTACATCACTGACGGCTAGAATTGCGATCTCGTAGAATTCTGTTTGAATTTCTAACGGCGCCGTAGATTCGTAAGCTCGTTTCCGACACACGCATAAAGAATCAAAGAGTCGACTTCTGTCGTACTCGGCATATACAAATATAACTGACAAATAACATATAAGATCGTCAAAACATTTTTTAATTTTTAATACGTTTAAACATTCTCTCTCTCTCTCTCTCTCTTTCTGTCTATATAGTTACCTATATTTAAATTAATTTAAACAATTCATTAACTGTTTTAAAAATTTTATACAATTTTCTGCCATCATAAAAAAAAGAGAAAATATAATATATGCATTTTTGTATCTCGTATAATTTTGTACTATAGTTGCTGTTTATTTTACAATTCACTTTTAAATAATTTTTTAAAATACTTAATACCAATATATTTCATAAATTCATAATTATTTGATATATTTTATATAAAATAAAAGTCAAACCAACAGAAAAGATCGAAAAGATTTTTAGAGATTGAAAAGATTTCACAATCCTTTAAAAATGTAATATTATATGGTTATCAATTTCTTTTTAAGGAATTTTTTATATACAATCTGTATGTCATGAATTAAATATTCGATAATATTATTCGGTAGTTTCTTCGATATTGATACGTTTCGGAATTTGCCGACTGTCTAGACTAGACGAAGTGTAAGAATTGTTAAACGTAGCGCGAACACGGTACTTACAGTCTCTGGACATGCCGACGGCTAGGCACTTCTTGAATCTGCAGTACTGGCAACGGTTCCGATTTAATCTGATGACAAGACACTTGCCGTCCCTCAAGCACCTGTACTCTATCTGCTTCTGTATGCTCCTTCTGAAGAAGCCCTGAAACAGGAAGTAAGGAAGCGCTATTAATAACAATCCCATAGACCGTCGCGGGATTAATTATATCTCCCCATGTATAAAATACGACACTCCATGTTCTTCTTTGTAGGATCGAGGGTTACAGGAAAAGCGAGATAGCTAACGGAAAATACGCTCATGAGAAAAGCAAGTTCTCGAACGCGCTCCGTATTATATCGCTCATTTTCCGTGATGGGAAATTTTGTTATAATTACATCTCAGAACATTTGTGTGTTCACACATATACAATTAATAATAATAAAAAATGATAATTAAATAACACACTATATCTCTAATATGGTCTTATCAATATGAATATCTTTCTAAATTTTTTATGAAATTTAGAGTCAATTTTTCGGCGGAAATTTCATAAATGGCTACCATTTACTTTAATTTTCAACACATTAACTATTTTGATAATTAAATTCAAAATCGTGCATTTTTCCGGATGAAAAATTGTGTCGAAATTTATATAAATAAATAAATAATGATAATGAAATAACCCGCTGTATTTTTGTGGATACAGTAAAATTATTGAATATTTTTCTGAATATCTTTTTCCGTGAAAGGCGTCAATTTTTCTGCGGTGGAGAATTTGAAGATGGTTATCATTTAAATTCTTAATTTCTAACATTAATTATTTTAATAGGTGTGCCATAGCAAAACGTTTAAGAATCATTTTTTAAATTTTTTAGAAAAAAACGAAAAACTTACTTTCTTACAAACTCAAAAATTCTACAAAAATTATATGTAATAAGATATGAGCATTCTCTGCAACAATGTTTAATTAAATAATTTTAATTTAAAAAAAAATCGTGTTAAAGTTGTTAAAATTTCAAAACGATGTAAGTAAAAATGTAAGTCAAAACATTATAAGTCGAAGTAAAAATAGCAATTACACAATGATTTGCAACATTTTGTATTACCCATTTTTTTCCGTTTATAGCACTTTCCACACACACACACACACACGACAAATATTAATATAATAGAATATAGTCACACATAAAACGCATTTTCACAATTTGGCACTTAAAATTTGCCGTGGCACGTCTAAATTGAATCCAAATTCATTCAAAATTTATATAATAATTTGCTTAAAATAAAATATTTTTTTGGTGATATCAAGTAGTTCAGCAAATGAAATTTCGTTCGGACTATTGAATGTTTATTTTATTATTTGAAGCAATTACAACACGTCTGTCAAAAGTCACAAGTCAAAGTCTCGCAGCAATTCTTGAGATACGTTATTGTTAAGCCTTTTCTCCTTCGAGATCCTTCTCTTCAGCATCTAAATATTTTCTCCTTCATTTCTATTGATCTTAGATCTATTCTTCATTCCTGCACTACCTGAACTGGTGCATACGGTGCAATAAGTTGAAGTGAAATAAATATACATTTTTATTTCGTTTCAACTTATTGCATCGTATTCACCAGTTCAGGTAGTGCAGGAATAAAGAAAAGACCTTTAGTTTATCTCGAGCTATTTCGAGCGGTTGAATGTTTAAATTTCAATCTTGATTGAAGACTTCGAAAAATAAATCGTAGAAAGATAGAAAGCCAATGTAAGATTGTTGATGTGTAAGAAAAACATTTTAAATTTTGGGCTACAATTAGATGCCTAGAGTAAGACCCAAGAGTGCACACTTTTTCTTTTGAGATTATGTAACTTGTATAAGGACCCAAGTTTGTATAGTAAAGTGGTGCTTAAATTATTCCTTACACGTTAAACTAAAAATTTGTCAAGTATCAATTTAATACTATCACTTGCTCTTTTACAAGAGATTAATTCTACTAAAAAGGAAAAAAATGCGAACTCTTGAACAAGTGTCTTTTCAAGAGTTCGCATTAGTTCGCACAAGAGTTCGCACTATGAAAAAAGTGCGGTTTATTAAAAAAGTAATGTTAATTAAAGTAAAAATAGCATTTGTTTTTCATTAAACAGATATATTTATAAGTACCTGAATGTATTTTTACATACAGAATTCACACAAGTAAGTTTTCGATTGACAGTTGGTCCCGGCATAATCGATATAGACTTGGAGACAACAGCTCTAACACTGGTTCCAATTTTCACCGAATTTAGAACTTGAATAGAGACCGTTACAAAACTTTTAAGCTGTTCTCAAGTGCGAACTCTTGAGTCATCATGTCATTTTTTACTTTTAATATAACAATTAAAATATAACTTAATATAACTTTTAATATAACTATATAAAAATTATTATAGATATTAAATAAATATATCACTAAATATGAAGCAGAGACATGCACACATACAATATAAATAGTACAGATTCACAAAGCAACAATTTGATGTTGAAAATCGATTAATTTATCCATGAAAGATATGGAAAGAAAATGGAAATTAAATGGAAATTATGGAAATAAAATTTAAAATTTCAAAATCATAAAATTTAAAATACCTTTTTTATTACTGTATAACGATAACGATTTTTAATAAAACAAATAGCTAAAACAAATAACTTTTCCTTTAGCAAAATTGTGTTCGAAAAAATGGATCAAAAATGAATCATTTTTTCGCTCTAGATTGAAAATTTATCCTGGATAGTCCTATTTTGATGTCAGATTCGTATTCAGCGACTCAAAATAATACATAAGAATAGCTGGGTCTCCATCTCAGCACAAGGTACTTTTTTTGTGGGCCTGTGTAATTTTTGCGTTTACTCGTATAATTTCAATCTGCTCTTCTGCAAAAACTTATCAGACGCAATTTTGCAAAAGGAAAAAGTTGTTTGTTTTAGCATAAAGTATCATGTCCTGTACTCCGAATGCGCGAATTTTGGAACACCCTGTATACGTAAACAATAGCCGGCTATGGCTTTACGAAGTGAGAAGTTCACGCGGAAGTAATGGAATAATGGAAACGGCATATGGATGAGGCGCGAGCAATCGAGAAAGCATCGATTTATTGGCATATTACTATCGGTGCTAATTGATGAAAGGTATTCGTAACAGCATCATGCAACAACGCTAACATACATCCAGCATCCAATATCCTGGAATCCCCGATGGACGGACTGCTCGTAATGCAACTGTCGATATTACTGATAACCAATGGCGCGCGCGACCTCAGTTCGTTTCTAGAGAATCGATACATTATAACTCGTCTGTCTGTTTGTCCTCGTCAACCATGTGACAGAAAAAAATAATCATGGTATAATTAATTTTATAAATCAATATCATAAGTTAAATATGTATATATTTGAAAAAAGTTGCTAAAACGTATTAAATGTTTTAATGATTAATCATTTAATTACATAAGTATATAGTTAATAAAATAATTTATTATCTCGTTATGAAAATTATTTCATTACAAAAAAAGAACAAAAGATATACAAGATGTTTAAATTGAAATTAAAATTTTAAATAAATTACAATTGATTTTGCTTAATAAAAATTAAAATATTTTTTTTTTAAAAGTTATTTCAATAATTATTTATTTAATTTACATTACATAATTATATATGGATTCTTTCAAAATTACAAAACTTCGACCAATACATGTTAAGAAAAAATTTGACTTGATTGTAGAAAGCATAAAACGGAACATTGAGGACAAGATTTATGTTTTTTAACTCCATAAAAATCTCGTTATCGTTCGCAGAAGATTTGTATATCACAAGATGCTCACGTTATAAAAACTGGAAGAGAAAGCTAGAGTTTTGTACAATAATAAATATTGCACGTGGAGAATAAAGGAGAGGCGAACAGCATGAACCGCGTACATGCAGCCAGTAGTAAAAACGCGATGCGGGTCAGACGAATGTAGCAGCGCAGTAGTAATAGCCCAGTCGGACGCGAAACAATGGCAAGCCGTTTCATTGATTTGTTGCAGTTTAAATTACAATTTATAAGCTGTATGCGCAAAATTTGTTTTATTATTCACATTATTAATTGTAAACTTTATATTATTGATAATTTGATATTATTTGATATTGATATAAACCAGATCAAATATTAATTTGAGAAACTTCTATTGACATATGTAAGTTTCATTTAAATGATTTCGATTCGAAAGAGAAAATATTGTAATATTAAATATTATCGAATATTCGCTTAATGCACATCTCAAAATACGAATATTGTACACAGCCAAGTATATGTATACTGTTAAGTATTAAAAGAGCAATGATAATCCAATCCCTTGAGTTAAATGGTGTTTTATTTTTAACTACCGTTAACGTATGCCAAAATGTAAACTACTCTGTGGTTAATTTCCAAATAAATAATGTCCATATATTAATGTATGCACTTAATAAGTGATAAACCAAATTTCAACATAATTTAACATATTAATTGAATTAAATTGAACTCTATTCTTTTAGTTAAATTAACGATATATTGAATAAGAACAGTGGCGATCTATAGAAATGATTAAAAAATAATTCAAATTAGATATAATTTGACATTAGGAATTTAACAGTGTTGGTGCAGCCATTTGAACGATATTGGAGATGTTCTTGAATGTAAACTTTCTTTTTTATTAAACAGAAGTTACTTCGAGGACGAACATAGACATAACAAATACAGACTATACATTCTCTGGTCTTAACATCTGTGCTTTGTTAGAAAGAAGAGAATCATAACGACATCTCTCTTCAACTCTATCAACATTTTTCTTCAACTCAATACTTTAGAAAGAGAGGAAGAGAGCGATGATTCAAACTTACTCTTTTTGAACTAAAAGTGACAACTTCATATATAAAAAGATTTGCTAAAGTATCTCAAAATTTAGGTAGATACAAATCCAAAAGTAATTTCATTGGATCATCAAAATAGCTGTGTAGGAATTAGGAATTTGAATCATAATAAGCAATACTACAAAAACTTCAACATTCTAGCAACCAGTTTGCTACATAATTCTTGTCCAACAAAATTATTTTCAAGTTTCTATTTAGCTAAATTTTCAGATGTTTCAACAAAGTCATCCTTTCCGTTGAACTAGAAATACGCAATCATCTCCATCCTTATTACTATTTATGAGGATGAATCGCGAGGACTTTTTAGCTAATTTTAGGCGAAATCATACTTATATGTATGCGTTTACGTACATTTGCCCGCAGAACTAGCTGCTAGCGAATAAGAGAATGCACCAATTCACCGTTAACTCTGGCCTTAGGGCTTCCGCATTTGAAATCTCAGGCGTGCAGCGGCGTACGGGCGTTTCGTGGCGGATGTGCATCTCCCACGATGCTTAAGACGTGAGTGCGCGCACCGATAAATATCCTGCCCCGAAGTGCGAACGAGTCGTTTCGCAGATTATTACTTGATCGTCATGCATCCTTGCGGATTGAAGTTGTAAATTGTACTCGACCCACCGCTGCGCCGCGAGGTTAAACTGATCGGCGAATATTCCGCAAGATATCGGAAGCTAAGAGCAACTAACGATGTATCGTGTCTCAAGCTTCTCTCTTATAATTCTGCGCATGGAACAATTCTCCTTCAGCTTGTTACGATAGTGAACCACGCGGAATGAAGCCCCAGCTGCTTCCCGAGTCATGTAAAATTGGGTTTATAAAACTAACGAATCATATCACGAAAAAAATTAATTGGGTGGTTCAGCAAAGCTATATCTTGTTACGCGAGTTTAATATTTATAACTAAGAAGATTTGACAAAGAAAGATGATTTAACAAAGAAAGTATATCCATAAGCTATTATCTGTATACAGCAATTCAGTTCATTCTTTCTTACAAAGAAAATTGTTAATTAAACAAACACGTAGCCAATATGCTTTGTTAAAAATTTTGATTTATATATTGGATTAATTTTCACAAATGATTATCTTTGCTGTTATTAGTAAAATTACTGTGCTATTAGGTACAATAAATATAATTACCCATAATAGCTATTAGGTGTTGGAATTAATTCGTAGCGTTTTACAAGTGATGGGAAGTACTTTCATTAATGTATTTTTTAATGCTCATGTGAAATAAATAACATTCTTTCATTAAAAACGCTACGAATTAATTCCAACACCTAATAATTTTATTCAGCTGTACAATTTTATTACTTTAACAAAGAAAACTGCCTGTTTGTATATTACGACCGTAGATTTGCTAAATCAGTGAAGTGTTTAGTTATTTTAACAAATCTTTTTTTTCCAATCACGTTAAGCTCGTATCATATTATACATTGAAGATTCAGGATTGTGAATTGAAGATTAAAAACTAAATAGCGGAAACGAATTAAAATTAAAATTACGTGTTTTACGTAATTTTAAATTTAGCTAAGATTGATTTTTCTTAGCAAGTTATTACAATAGCATAAATGATTAAAGAATGCGAGGATGATTAACGCGAAGTGTTCACTGTTTCTCTCGATGATTATTATACAAAAATTAACGCAGACGTTACAGCTTGTAGATATATTTATAGCTTACACGTTTCGTTTTAATTTTTTTAAATTTTAACTTGCTTTTTTGTTTGCTTTCGAATATGGGATTCTCGATACTCACTTTGCAACCTTCGCAGCTGGTAACGCCGTAATGATAACCGCTCGCCTTATCGCCGCAAACCTTGCAGGGTACGAAGCTCTTGGCGGGCGTCGAACTGTTGGAATCAGCTGCTGCGTAATGCTGTTCTGTAAGTAAACAAGAATTTAAAAAATTAATGAGTTGTTTTGCTTTCTCTAATAAAGCTAATAATAAAATATATTAATTATATAATATAATAATTAATTATATAATAATAAAATAAATTGATCGTAACACGAGATGAAGTCTAGTAAGACTATTTGTAACTACGACAGAATATACTTTATGTGGCTTTAATTTCACATGTCATGTGTTTCCTTCAACAAGACAAGATAGGACGTAAAAGGCAGTAAAGTATTAAACGAAGAAATATCATTTCGCATTTCCCTCAAGACTCTCCTGTTTCCGAGAGAACAAACGGGACATCCATCCAACATTAGTAGCATCTTTCCTTCATTCGTTCAGCATCTATAATGCAACGAAGCCCATCGTCTTGGAAGGGAATAGGCCGCTTCGGACGGTTCTGACTGGACGCGTAACGGGAAGCCGGCGTCACCGTTACGGAAAAGGAGCAGAAGAAGAAGAAGAAGCGGGTGCAGCGGCACCCAGCTAGACGGAGCAGAGCAGGAACAGGAGGAGGAGGAGGAGGAGGAGAATGAGGAGGAGGAAGAGGTGGAGCAGAGAAGAAATGAAAAAGGAGTAGCAAAAAGGAATGAAACGGGGCCGCCGGTAAAGGGAGAGAAGGGGATCGTACATAGGAGATCATCGCTTGTATACCGTTGGTCTCTCTCGTGAAACCCCTTGCCAGAAGACATCGTTATGTGGAGAAAATCTACAGATGTGTAAGGAGAAGAGGAGAAAAAGTAGGTTCGAGTGAAACAAGTGGGAGAGAGAGAGGGGGAGGGGAAGAAAAAGAAGTTGGACAATTCTCTGATCCGAGAGCGAGTCCGAGAGAGCCTGATCGTTTGCGCGCGATGTGATTTTATGGTGACCGTAGAAACTATCGTCGGAAGCAAACGGTATCCGCTCGTTCGCTTGCTGGCTGGATGCATCCGCGCAACCATCATGGAGACAATCAAGAGCAACCCCGTTACTCGGCTCGTCGTGTGGCGCTACTCCTTGCGCCTTTACCTTTGCGAGTGACAACAAACTACTGGAAACGCTCAAGATCGTTTCGCAGAAGCGACCGTCTTCAACTGTAACTGCGGCACGTTCAATTGCTCTTTTGAAATTATCTAATCAACTAAAAATGCGCTACAATTACGATGTATCGCCGAGACTGACTATTTTTATAATAAGTCAGAATAACGTGCATTTAGCGGACGCAATGATAACGGAAAGTTTTGTTTATCTTTTCCAATTTTAACTAAATGTATACATACAGGGTGTCCCGTAAGATTTGCCAAACGCTTTTATGTAAATAGAGGACTAAACCGAGTCAAAAAGTCCTCTGCCATTTTGCAATTTTCACACTAGTTAACAAGATATTAATTACTAAAAATTGTCGAATATTGATCTTCAATAATTTTTTATTTAAATATTATCAACTTTACAGAAAAACTGCAAAAAGAGACAGAAATCATTAATTTTTTCTTCTCATAGAACTCTAAGAATTTTATGAGAAGAAAATAAACAATTTTTGTCTCTCGCTGCTTTTCTGTAAAGTTGATAGTATTTAAGTAAACAATTATTGAAAATCAATATTCAACGATTTTTAGTAATTAATATTTCGTTAACTATTGCAAAAATTGCAAAATGATAGAGGACTTTTCGACTCAGTTTAATTCGCTCTATCTACACAAAAACGGGACAACCTGTATATAAAACTATATAAGTGCTAAAGAATTCTGTTTTTCGATATAGTTCATAATTCTAATATTAAATTTAACAAAAAAGATTGATTTTAATAAAAAGATTGATAAACTGTTTGGAATGCAGTTTACTGGTTAAATCTCTCCTTTCTCTCTCTCTCTCTCTCTCTCTCTCTCTCTCTCTCTCTCTCTCTCTCTCTCTCCTTCATTCAAAGATAAATTTAATGATCAGTTATATAATTATATCGAAAAGGATAAATTGGGGAAAGTAAATTCAGTTCAATTTTGCTATTAAACTTTCTATATCACGCTAGCTAACTCCTGAAGAGCATGAATCGTTCATTGATGTAAAAAAAAAAAATGATTTGAAAGCTAAAATGCAAACTGCTGGCACAGGAGAGCATACGGATTTTTTATTTTTCTCTTTCACCAAGTTGATTCGTTAAATGAGAGATAACACGGATTATAATTGTAAAATTAGAATTTAGCTGAACAATTATAATAAAAGTAGAGGATTTAATGTAGATCGATTGTAATCGATGATTGACGTCACATCATAAAAGCATTGTTAAGTTATTCAATTACAAAATTTGTAATGGCGAATTTTTGAGAAGAGAGAACCACGCTTAAAATGATTTGATAAGCACGCCATCATCATATTCGGTACATTTAGCACCGAGATGCATCGAGTATTAATTATGGTCGATATGATCGGTTTATTTTAATTGATCGGAAATAGTATAATTCTATACTCTCGTAAATCCTCATAAATACAATAATTATACCGCCTCACATTATATCCTTAGCTCATTAAAATTTGTAATTACAATCACTTGCAAAGTAAGTAGCGCGTACAATATTAATTAAATATGATAAAAATTACACATATACTATTAATTAATAATTTAGTTAAATAAATGGATTTAAAACAGAGAAGTACGCACGATTATATGTGTATGTATGTGTATACATATCAAACTCTTAGTTGATCTGTAATTTCAGAGAGCAAGGCGGAAGTTTTTATGGGTGCGCCGTAATTACATATACTAGTAATCAGTTCACAGTTAAGCCAAAGTTCTTCAGTACGTATTCGAAAGAATCATGCCGCTCATTAGAGACGTATGTTAAATGGTCACGCACGAATAAATCTAAATGTTATTTTCTTCCATCGCGTTTATTTTCGCGGAAACACCACCTTTCTTGCCCGACACGAGAGATAAGACATAAAAATCACCTTCTATTTATTTTACATGAGTGATAAACTAGCGCCTCCTGTTTCCTCCCGATAAAAATATCATTAACTTGAGTTATGATCATATGAGTATATCATAACTCCTTGCTAATAGTTTATATTTCACGTTGCTGCAATTTGTACAATTTAGATTCGCGATAACGTAACGTTATATCGCGTTAGGTCTCTTTCAAAGCTATACCAGATCTCCATGGCGCTATAATCCATCAGTTTACTAATAAATCGATTACGCTATATCCACGTGGGGGCTACTCGCCTTTGTTCAGAAATCAGCGGGGCGGTAAATGCACCGAAAGCACTGCACGTTCGAATAAACGGCATGATGCGATGCTAACAATATTATCGTGCTGGACAATATCAAAACCGATATGCAGCTCGTTTCGACAGTGTTTATTGGCAACCATCCAACTCCAATAAGGATAATTAAATCTGGACCAACTATTTATCTACAATAGTCTGACATTTCGATTTATATTTTTGTCGACAAAAAAATAATGATAGCCATACATTATTAAATTCACAATGTCAAATTGTATCCATAATTTGAGTTATTTTTAATCATTTCCGTAGGTCGTTACTACTGCTACTCAATATGTCGTTAATTTGATTAAAATAATGGGAGTTATAAATAATTTTACTTAAAAGAAAATGTATTGAATTTGACTCACTTTTAGTTTATTATTTACTAAGTGCATATATTATAACATGGACGTTTATTTTGAAACAAACTGTAAAAATTGATTGACTTACATTTTGACACACATGAAAATTAAAAATAACAAAATGTTATTAAATTAATCAATATTATATTTCTAGGGCAAAAAATGCAGCACACGTTTGTCGTTCAATTTTTTCCTTTTTTTATATTTTTAATGCTAATTTTTTTGACGTTAAGACGAAAAATAATATAGTTACAATTACACTGTCAGCTCAATTGCATAAAAGGAGCAATGGTAGTCTCTTGAGTTAAAAATAACAAAATGTATAACGTTAATGTCGAAGCTTGTTCGGAAAAAAAATTGAGCGAGAAACATGTGCTGCACTTTATTGTCCTATAGAAATTTAATACTGGCGAATTTAATACTACTTGCCTCAGAAAGTTAATACTAATAATTTAATATTTACAAATTTATTATTGAAAGACAGTAATTAATTACATAAATATGATAGAGAACGCCAATAATCAGTCAAAATTATATGTTATGAATACAATATCATATATTCTTAATTTAAATTTAATTATCTCAAGTGTGTGACTGTGCGCTATTCGAACATTAACCACAATCGATTTGAGACGCTAATAATATAAATATAAGGCACTGAAATATTCCTATATATGAAACAATCCCTCCTAAATTAATTCGGTAAAGAATTTATTGCAAAAAATATTACCTCAGCCAGGATGTACAGTAATTAATTACTTCTTTGGAGTATTAAAAGCATTTAATAACAATGTTTTTAATATTTAAAATAATTAATTATGTTATTCAGTATTATAACTCTCAATTGCAATAACGGATTATTTGAATTCAAAACAAACAATTTTAGATTGTATAATCTGTACAATTGATACTATGAGATTTTTAATTGCAAAAAAGAAAACTTTGAACCCCTTTCTCTATCAATCGCCGTAAAGTTCACTTGCGAAGGTTCACTTGCATTCTGTTCCAAACAGTACATTTCAGAAGTTAGTTGTAGTTTTCATAGCTGATTAAATTGGCCAGTATTAGATTTCTACAAGGGATATATGTGATAACGTTTAGCTATCGTGATGTGAGCTACCTCAGTAAGATAACATTAAATGATTTATCTAATTCCACATTCCTGTAATTTACCTAGTTCTAATGTTTAACTGTTAGTCGAGAGTTCAGACATGTCGAATGTCAATTTACGCGGAAACGCCAAGTTCCCCTTGTTATCACAAGTGTGAATCTACGTGTACTTGTGAAACAACCGATGGTACACCCCATTGTTGGTGAGCACTGACGCGTGTTCGACATGACAGTAGACACTCCGGAAGAAAACAGAATGGGATCCGAGGAGG